ATTTGAAACCGAATGAAACGAGTATTTTCTTATACAATTTGTTTATAGAACAAAGAGATCTTGGAGAAGTCGCTGCATTGGAAGCGTTAACCATGCTGTGGTAAACATTTACCATCAGACACAGACACTGGTGGGTGCCGATTCTGGATGGTTCTCTAAATTTAAAACTTAATTTAACATCAGTCTTTCCTTTTCATTCTGTATAGAGAATGACAAGGATAAACTGTTGTTAAATGGGCTAGTTGACACTTTTTGGAATTATGTTTTAAATTGTTAATAATTGTTCTATCAGAACGAAAAAAAAATTTTTTTTTACCTAGAAGACATACAAAAACGCTCTTTAGTCTATAGACTTATCTATGCTATGACGTCAAAACATTTGTAAACAAACACTCGCAAGCACGTAGGAAATAAACTTTCTAAGTTAATATTATAAAACCATGATTTCTAATAGATCACATGAAAAATATAGTAGTTATCATGATACACTTGGTAAAAGACTCTAGAAAAGTTGTGGTTTAAATTGCCAGAGAAAAAACATACTTACACATGAACATACTAAAAACTTGCTAAATCCTGTAACTTTATCGACTGAAAGTCTTTTCTTTTTGCAAAGATCAATTCGATGTGATAATAGTTGATAATAGTAAAAGTTTAAAAATACAATTTTTAAGGTTATGAATGTACCTACTAAGTCAAAGAGTTTTGTCGTTCCTGCTTTCACCTATCCTGCGTCCAGTATTAATTTAGTCAACAAAACCAATAACGGGAACCTTTTCTACAAGATACAAGAGTGTTTAGATACATCTTTATAAGAAATAAACATTTGTATAGTTTTTAAGTAAAGTAACGGAAAATATTCTTCTTTATTCTAGTGAATTAAGTTATTTTACAAATTTGAAAAAAAATAAGAAAATACGTAGATTTTGGGACTGAAGTTAGTAGGTTTCCAGAAAAGGCCTAAAATACGTAGATCTACGTAAAAAGACGTAGAGTTGGCAACACTGAGTGGCAAAGACAATTTTTTTTTGTTCTTTCGATCAAGCCAAGGTATGGGAACATACTGCCTGGTCATTAGATATTTTTCCCCCTTTTTATTATTACAATTTAATGTATCTTTAGTTTCTAGTAAAGTCTATTCAGATTTTTTTGGTTTGCGTTCGCTCTTCTACAGTTTTTTTAATACTCTTTATAACTAAGAGCTTTTCCCTAGCACATTTAACTAGGGATGTTCCGATATCATCAAAGTTTCGATACCTACTCATTTCGATAGTACTCATATCTTTTTTCAATACTACTTAAACATATACTACTAAAGCAACGATACTTACTGATATCGATACTTTAAGCACTTTTTTTATTTTTTATTTTGAGGAAACTAACGGTAAAAACAAAGAACGTTGAAGGACAATAATTAAAATAAAATTGAGAAGGAAATAAATATCTTTAATTATAAATGTTTTGCGTCACGTTTTTTTAACACTTTAGGAATTCAAAAGGATTTTATACAACATTTTAGGAAAGCAGTCACAAAATATTGTATAAGGCTCCAATGGGGTGTATGATTGATCACAAAACTCAGATAAAAGACTTTCAATGTTTCATTGATACATTTTCCAATCAACCAGTTAAAAATTTTTGATTATTGAAAAAGTGACCTTATCGCCCATTATATTATTGTTATTACAATATCTCGTATGTTTAGACTGATATTTGTTTTTACAGGTAGATGATAACTACTAAGAGGATTATCATGAACAGACCATTCACAAGATAAAGCCAAAGACGGACTATAGTCTAGTCAAAATAGACAAAAATAAGTTATAACTTAGCCAAAATTCGCATAGAGCAAAAAACTGGTAGTGACCTTAAATACCATTATAATAAAATGACAAAAATCCCCTTCGATACAATTTTTTTTTATAGATAGGTCCGACAAATGACTCCACCCCACCTGATGTTAAGTGAAGGTGAAGTCCAGACGCGAAGATAGCTGAAACAGTAGTTCTACCTGCCACACCAGCCATCCTCACTCTGCCGGCCTGCATGTTGCTTCTTCACGCCTCTTTTAAAGGATCCCAGGTTGTAAGAGGGAGGGAACACGTGAGCGGCTATAATACCTTGCTTATATTTCTGCAAATATAAGCAAGGTATCTTATAACAGCAAAATCAGTTGGAAAGATTTTTTGCACAGCAATATAATTTGCAAAATCGGTTGTCTGTAAAGTCGGTTAACTGACGATAGTTGAACGTGACAACGTTTTTTTACAAAGTACATAGTTTTTACAAGTATGAATGTGCACTTCATACTTGACGAAAAGATGTAAATGTATTATTGTATAGCAGTTAGACGCATCGCTCACTCAAGTAGGAGAGAGAGAGACAGATGTCGAACGCGAAGGCTGATTGTGCCTCTTTGTCGCTCGTTGCGCGCTCGCGCTTGCACTTCAAGCCTTAAATGGAACGCCTCAGAGCGAGGTAACGAAGCATGTTTTTCATGCGTGCAGCCGGCTCCATCGAATTATAAGACATTGGTGTCGATTCTAGCATGATTCTCTAAACCTAAACTTAAATTTGACAGCAGTATATCCTTGTCATTCTCTATACAAAATGAAAAGGAGAGACTGATGTTAAATTTAGTTTTAAGTTTAGAGAATCACGCCAGAATCGATACCATTGTCACGTCAAAAATTGTCTCCAAGGTCAAACGTACAAAATTAAGTTTTTTTCTATTTTTCTCAAAAACAGTAAGTTTTATCGTGAAAATAGATAGAACATAAGTTGTAGACTACTTAATTACTACAAAAATTGTAAATTCTCGAAATTGTTTAAAAGGTAAATGAACGCATGTATTACGATTTGTTAAACGACTTTATTGATTAAACTGACTTAACATCTAGTAGAGACGCCTGCGCCGGTGGCCATAACTATGAATGGAAAATTAACATGTCCTTTAATAAAAAGTGATCTTTTTGCTACCAAGCACTACGAACAAGGAAACTTATACTAGCATAAGTTTTAAAAGTTAAATCAAATCAATGATTATTTTTTACAATTTACGACAAATAAACAGTTTTATCATTTCCATGTAAACGAGGCCGTTACCACTTGGGTCCCTTAACAGTGAACTTTCCAACGAAAAAAATAATAATGTAAGCAAGGAAACAAAGAATGAATTCTCAATAAATGTTTATGCTTGTTAGGCTACCGTGGGGTGCCGGCATAGAATATTGCAACCCCCCCCCCCCCCCCATCTCTTCCCGTGGGTGTCGTAAAAGGCGACTAAGGGATCACCAGAAAAACGGGCAGCAGCGTTCTCCTGAGTAACATTACATCCACTGTGATTGCCAACCCGCCTCCCAAGCGTGGCGATTATGGCAATAACCCTCCAAATGAAGAAAGACATAAACACAATGGCCCCGAGTCACGGCCACTCCGTTATTCCGGCTCACGGTGGCGGGCCTAATAACGGCGGGGTACGGGTTGCTAAGAATCTCCGGTCGAGATCACAGACACACAACATTCGCACGCTCAGGACTGACGAGATGATTGGCGAGCTGGAAGAGGAATTGAGCAAGATTCAGTGGGACATTGTAGAGTTGTCAGAAGTCCGAAGACAGGGTGAGGAGACGATAACCCTCCGGTCTGGAAACTTGCTCTATCACCGGGAAGGCGACAACTTGTCGCAGGGTGGTGTCGGGTTTATCGTTCGTAAGTCTCTCGTAGCCAACGTGGAGAGGATTGAGAGTGTGTCGAGTCGGTTAGCGTACCTGATACTCAGAATAACCAAACGGTTTTCGCTGAAGGTTATCCAGGTCTACGCGTCGACTTCGACGCACCCCGACGATGAGGTGGAGGCTCTATACGAGGATATCTCGAAAGCCATCCGCTCATTCAAAACTCACTTCACTGTGGTTATGGGAGACTTTAACGCGAAACTAGGCAAAAGGAAAAACGGTGAGTTGAGAGTAGGGCAATGCAGTTTCGGGCAGATAAACCAGAGAGGGCAGAAGTTGGCTGATTTTTTTGGGAGAAGGAAAACCTCTACATGATGAATTCCTTCTTCAAAAAGTCGCAACAAAGGAAATGGACCTGGATAAGCCCTAATGGTTCAACACGGAACGAGATTGACTTTGTCTTGTCAGACAAACGGCAAATATTCAATGATGTCTCAGTGATCAAACAGGGTGAAAACCGGGAGCTATCACCGAATGTTACGAGGCACATTGAATTCGTTTCAAAGCCGAGCGGTCTCGACTGATGAAGTCTACTCTACGTCCCACACCTGCCGAGTACGAAAACCCCGAGAGCTTGGCTAGACGACTGCGAAACGGCGAACGATATGAACAGCAAGTTTGTGGAAACTGTACACACGGTTGGGTCGAAATTTTTCAGGACCCGCCGTGCTCCTAGAACCGGAAAACTCTCTGACCACACTCTTGAGCTCATGGGACGGAGGAGAGAAATGACGGTGCAGTCTCCAGCCTCCTGGTCTAAGATGAGGCAGCTAAATAGACAGATCTCGAATTCTATCCGTTATCCTAGTATAATGCGATTCAACTAAGAATAGGACCGACTGGGCGCCATATGGTGACGTCATAGCTGTCAATTCAAACCAAATCAACCAAATTTATCAAATTTATTTATTAAGATTAAGTCAGTCAGATTTTTAAATAAAATTTATTTCTTAAAAATGAGAAAAGAAAACAACTGATTTTAAATAATATTTATTTATTAAGACTGTGTGCGAAAACCATTAATCAGAATTACTGGTTATATGATTCGATCTGGGAAAAATCATATTCTATTGAATAAATCAAAATAATCTATTTAAGGCCTTGCTACGAATCGGTTTTCAAATATACGATTTAAATTCGGTATGGCATCCCTATGTCGCAATTGCGAAAGGTTGCGTTGCACTGACACTGAGGCACTGGCACAGCACTGAAGATTTTTTCGCAGTACAATTTCTGAGTGATAAACTATGAATTTTATTAATTTCACACTATTTGTGGTTGTTGCAGTAAGTGTTTTCAATTTCTATTTGATCAAAAGTATTTACATTAGGCTGTTGTAATGCCAACTTATTGCCTGATTCCGACCAAAGTTAAAATGTCAAAAGGAGTTTTGGATCCTTTATCTTGGATCTTCATTTACGGTATCTTTATCTAGGAATAACATTTACGGTAGTATTAACTTATCCTATGAGATGGTTATTATTATATAAAATGGGTATCTCTTTACGTGTATGGTAAATTAGCATACCCCTATAGGCGCAAATCTACCTACACTTGAAATATAAACATGTATTGTTAAGTACGTAGATAATTACCATGCTGTCTTGGTCGTGTACTGTGATCGTGTTTCATTCCTTACTTATATAAAATGATCTTAACCTTATAGCTGGATATTGATCCTGAAGGTATTTTTTTGAAGTTAATAAAATATAGCTTGCTTTTAAGTTCTATGACGTAAGTCTATTAACAATGAATACATATTTCGTTTTTGTTCTAGATGGCGCCATCAGTTAATTGTTTGAAATCGAGTGAATCTGCTAGGGTATCTTGAGCTCAACTATTGTATACAAATTTATATTCCATAGATAAGAATACTTTTATTTTAAATCACACATATAGTATCAATGTCAGTTCTGTACTTCTAATTCAGACAATCTTATCTTTTCTGCTCATGATAATATTTTGCTTCCCATTTTGTATAAGTCTAATAGGTGATTTTCTCAAGTAGAGTGTTGTAGCACAAGCTTATAAAATAATTAATAAGATGGCATCAGATCCTGAAATCAAGGATGGATTAACACTACCTGTTTGGATGAAGACGAAACCAACAAAGTGAGTAATTCAGTCATTGTATCACAACATCCACAAAAGCATGAAGTTTCATTACTATCACTTGCAAACACATTGTCATTCCATATAAGTCTGTGAGGATTGGCAGGGCATCAAGGTTGTTGCTTTAGAGTAAAATGTCTATGAATCTCTCATTGTTGATTCACCAACAATATTCATCTGGAACCAGTTGGATCTGAGATGTTAGGTAATATTTGGTATTTGTGTACAATATATACATAGAACACAAAATAAAAATCATTTATTTAGTCTAGGCTGTTACAAGCACTTGTGAAAGTCAAGGAGCTACACCATCGGTTGCAAAACTACAGTGGGTGACCTTGTGCTGAGGCCAGGCCAGAAACTGTTTTTTCTCCAGATATATAAAGAAATAAAGGGTTAGGACAAAAATTGTATTTTAATGCAATATGGATAGGTCAAAACAAAATCAAAAAACTACTTGGGCACCAAACCTACCTCAATAAACTCGTCGGAAAGGCATTGAAGTTTTAATCACAATGGGGGTTGAAGTGAAATCCAAGCTCACTTTGGGTTGTCTATATATTGAAATTTCCAACTATTTGCCAATGATTTTCTTGAATTTAGAAGCTAGTTCCAATTATCCTCATATATTTATAATCTTTACCTGAATTTTACATAATGGAATAATTTTCTCTTAACAGATTGTCCTGATTAGAATTCATTTACATGCTCTTACTGTCGGCTCTGCATCTTTGTTATGTATTGAGTTGAATGTATATATAGAAACCTCTGTCCCATGTAATGACAAAGGGTTATTTCATGGTAAAAGAATGCCTACAACTGAAAATAAACAGTCCGCATATTAGCACATGGTACAGAACAAAAGAAATTTCAAAGGTTCTCACCATTTTTTCGATAGTAAACCACCACAGCAAACTTATGTCTCCTTAAACAAAATCAACATGTAAATTACTGAAATATTTATACGAAAACACTTTTAGAATTTAGAAAAACACATTATTAAAAATTATTGATAATCATAAGGATTATCATATTATTAAATAAGATTTCATGATTTTCATTTGTCATGTCTAATGTAAAAAATTCATTGTGAAGTGAGGTTAAAATTTCCTTCCAAAAGGCAAGCAAAGGAATCAGTGTAGAAACCTTGTTAAGCCACAGAAAAAAAATGACACGTTGCACTCCGGGAGTGCCGGCAGAAGTATAAACTTGAATATTAACATTGTGCATTTTTGATATTTTGGAATGGTTAGGGAATAATTTTGCACGAATTGCTTTTATTATCAGTATAAAAGTACTATCATGTATGTGGTAGAATACAATATTTATTTATTGCGCTATCGTACACAAACATGACAATTTATATTACATTAAAAAAGTTTATCTCTCAGAAAAATCAACTTACATGAATCACGTTTAAGCACACTTAGCAACATCTATTGTAAAGAAATCAACTTACTTAAAAATGCATTTTCTTCGTTATGAAGCTGCCATGTGGACGTCCTAGATAGAGACTTATTATTATAATACGGTAAAATAAAATATTACTATGTTTCGTCCAATATATTGAAAGTCAGCAACCTTTACAATTTTATTGTGTGTCATGATGCGATCTGCCCACGTGTTTAACCTGACGCGAGTTTAACATTTTTTACCCATACAAAAAAAGTGTACAACGCTGCTAAAGAAGTTTTCACTTCAAAAACACATGGACTAGCGAAAACGATTTATGGTAAACTAAAACAAACTAAACAGAGGCCTTCTATCTCTCTCTTCAGACAAACAAAATTCCTCTGACGTTTTTAACACGTTACATTTCACCCTTCCCTGATTGAAACATCAAGAATCGAGGCATAAAGGTACAAGTTCGAACTGAACCGCAGACCACAGACCGCAGCTGCAGACTGCAGGCGACACTACTAGTTTCTAATTTCTATGAATCTCTATGAAATTGATTTCGAGCGCAGCGACGTAACGCGGCTGCACAGTGCATATAATGCACGGTCAGCCGCTGGCGCTAGCCGCAGTGTCGCCTGCGGTTGTCCCCTGCAGCCCATTGCGGTATAGGGTATTTGACAGTATTAAAAACAAAGTGCCAATTGTTAGCATCTGTGTTTAGAATGAATATTGGCAGCGGTATTTACTATTTTTACAAAAACAATATTCATAATTTTACTAAAAACCCACGAAAAAGATAATAGTTTTCTTATCTATTGTCACGTGACTAGGGTTACCATATCTCAGGATTTGTCCTGAGATTACAGGATTTTTGGACTCTTCTCAGGATTGCGGCTGGATTTTACAAATCTCATGAAATCTCAGGATTTTTTGAATTTCCAATAAAATACAGCTTACGTTTTAAAATAAAAATAATCTTCTATTGGTAATAATTGTACAATTAAAATCAGTACTTTATTATCCAAGTAGGTACTTATTCAGTTTTATCATACTTAATATGTGAAGTAACATTTTTAAGTAAGGTTTTTTCTTCAATTATGGATTCATATAATGCCCCACATGTTAAGCTCTTCAAATTATATTGATATAAAGTATAAGCAGAGTATAAACGAAAATATTACGACTTTTTAAATTGTTAAGTACATTTGAGAGCAAATTCTCAAACTGTAAAAAATCTCAAGATTTTTCAATGGAAATCAAGTCTTTACTCTGGACTTTTGATTTTATCATCTGGTAACCCTACACGTGACCCAAAACGCTTGGGATTGGCGGAGCCTAAAATGACGTCACACGCAACTAAACTTCCGGTTAAAGTGACATTACATTGTATCGTTTGACGTTTTAATAACAGTCGTTTGACGTCACACACTAGTAAGTAGCCATATTGTCCAGAGAAACGTTTTCGCGGCAAATTGAAAATGGAGTTTTTGATTTGGTTATTTTTACAGAAATAAACAACAGAATAATGAATATCCACTCCGAACGGACTCCATAAACATTAGTCAATAACGTGAGATCGTTTTATAAAACTTGTCAAATACCATAAAGAAACTACGATCAAAATTCAAATACCAAAAGCCAATTCGAAATTCATTATTCAACGAAAAAAAACAAACCCAAAATGATAAGAAAATTACTTCCTGTAGAGTTATCTGAACACCAAAATAATATCCAAATATAGAGTCCCTGTTCCCTGGTCAAAAAGTCACAAGTCTCAAAACAAGAGCTGTTAGACTAAACTAGCAAACCAGTGAACCAAATGTTCACCAAAACCTGATTTCTCGAAAACCGGAAGTGCTACGTTACTCAAATTCGGTTTGTAGTCTTATTACACTATTCTTAACTTATAACTTAAATATTCTCTTTATCTATCTCTTACGGTTTGGCCGCTGAAACAGCACCACAGACAGACGGACTTGTCTAATAGATAAGAGATTAGTCGCAGAACCAAAGAAATATTAGCTCCAAAATAAAAGCGTGCAAAGCTACCACAAAATAGTAGAAAAAATATTCAACTACCATCATCTTATATCTGTCGGACGTAAAAGTCGCAGACTCAAAAAAATTCTAAACTCAATATCCTTCAAAACTAAACCCTTTTGAGATCTGTTGTACATTCAAATTACAGACACTCAAATTTCCTAACCTACTCTTAATATTAATTTTTGAAAAGTCTGTTAGACAACTAGATAACAAACATAAAACTACAACCCTATCCCCTCAGGATATCTGCCTTGAACGAAATGATGACGTTAGGTTACTCAATAGACAACGCAAACACTTTGGTTGCTTTCCAATTACAGAGCATAATGCGACTCAGTGCCGCACAATGCCGAATTATGCTGATGCTTAATTGGAACGTGAATTAGTTTTCAAATGCACCAGCAGAGTGCGCTAAGTTCAGTGTTGAAAAAAAAGTCAATGTTTGTACCTTCATCCATACTTATATTTATTTTTTTAACAGTTTGAATTAACTTTGATTGTTTAAAAAAAACTATTTAATGAAACGAAAGCTTTAATAATTTTTCAACAATAAATAATATTACTTACGATAACATATAAATAAAACATTTCGATCAATGCCAACTTAAAGAAAAAAACACTTGTTAATTTTCTGTCACTGGGTTGGTACGATTGCACGCATCACACGAAAGCATTACTTTTGAGAGTGCTCAATTGTGTGAAGCGTTGCTGTAGTTGGAACACTCAACGTTAAGCATTATGCCGCATAATGCGCTATAATGCTGTAATTGGAAAGCTACCTTTGTTTCGCACGATAGACTTTGATGCGGTCTGTTCTGTATAAATCGGCAAAGGTCGCTCTTCAAGGACTGTGATTTTTGTCTTATTTAGCCACCGGTAGTGCCTTGCATTTCCTGAATTAGATTTTACAAATAATTCAAAAATGTGTCTTTGTATTTTTTCAACTCTAGTAATTCGAACAAATGACTTATTTATCGATTTTGTTGTATAAAGGGATGTATCTTCTTTATGCACTATTTTTTTAATTTGAGTATACAAACACCAGACAAATAATATAACCGCAACATCCTGAGTGAGTCAATGCTCTGCACTATAATATTATTACCGCAAGGTGCTGTGAAAAGATCCAAAGAAAAAGCTGCGTACGTATGTTTTTTTTGCGAAATTGCATGATGATGCAGATCTGCATTCAAGCATGGACATACATCTTGTACCCCGCAGCGTAGTGCGTAGGCAGTTTGGAAATCGCCTAACTGATCGCAGTTCGTGTATGCAGAGCCGGATTTAAGGCAGAGCAGGTGGGGCTGTGGCCCAGGGGGCCCATATCTCTAAATCCGGCTCTACGTGTATGGTGGCTCTTAAATATTTTTGGGCCTAGCTCCCATCCGCCGTAGCATCCAAAAAGCAACTTCTTTCGAATTCCAAAACATATCGATATTGTGATATATTGATACTTTTTTTTATATCAGTTTCCAAGTGGTGATATTATCAACCGGCAATATGACGTCATACCTATTTTTCTATTCTTGCTTACTTGAAAATACGTTCACGTGCTTTTG